GGGATTGCTGGGTTTGTAGTCATTTTCCTCCCAGCCCTGAGGCAGCTTTTGTCTTTGGAAAGTGAGAAAATGTTGGTGCTAAGTATCAGCTGGGCTCACGTCCAATCTGGCAGATAAGAACCTAAGAACATAAGGACAGCTATACTGGGTGAGACCAAAGGTCTGTCTAGCCCAGGATCCTGTCTTCCCACAGTGGCCAATGCCAGTGCCCCAGGAGGAGTGAACAGAACAGGGAATCATCAAGTGATCCTTCTGTTACCCATTTCCAGCCTCTGACAACAAAGACTAGGGACACCATTCCTAGCCATCCTGGCTAATAAGTATTGATGGACCTAAACTCCATGAATTTATCTAGTTCTTTTTTGAACCCTGTTAAAGTCCTGGTCTTCACAACATCCTCTGGCAAGGAGTTCCACAGGTTGACTATGGAACACAACATGGTTCTTCCAAAGGGATATTGGAGATCTCCCAAAGACATTTCCTCACAATTCCTGACATTTTGACCCCCCAGCCAGGCTGCAACAGCTGAGCCACCTCATATAGACAAGGTGACACCTAGTTGCAGCTCATAGAAAATCATAGAATCATAGAATACTAGGACTGGAAGGGACCTCGAGAGGTCATAGAGTCCAGTCCCCTGCCCTCGTGGCAGGACCAAATACTGACTAGACCATCCCTGATAGACATTTATCTAACCTACTCTTAAATATCTCCAGAGATGGAGATTCCACCACCTCCCTGGGCAATTTATTCCAGTGTTTGACCACCCTGACAGTTAGGAATTTTTTCCTAATGTCCATCCTAAATCTCCCTTGCTGCAGTTTAAGCCCATTGCTTCTTGTTCTATCCTCAGAGGCCAAGATGAACAAGTTTTCTCCCTCCTCATGGCACCCTTTTAGATACCTGAAAACTGCTATCATGTCCCCCCTCAATCTTCTCTTTTCTAAATTAAACAAAACCAATTCTTTCAGCCTTCCTTCATAGGTCATGTTCTCTAGACCTTTAATCAGTGGGGAAGCTGCAAGCAGAAGGATTTGCAGTGATGCATCTATAGCACGGATAGGCATCGAAGTCTGGAACCAGGGCAGATCTCCACTGTAGGCAAGGCCTCAGTTTGAATCAGTTGGTGTTCCTAACTGGACTCCATCTGACCACGCGAAATTCCGTGGCACACCCAGACTTTCTCTGATCGTATGCTATGTTCTCGCCCGATTGACTCATCTCAAGCTCTATACCATGTTGTCACATGACCTGGGCCACATTGTCATCCAGCTAGACCATCTCAGATCATGTGGTGTGCTGTCACATGACATGCGCCATGTCATTGCCTGGACAGACCTTTCCAGGTCAGACACCATGCTGCCACGTGAAAGGTGCCACATCATTGCAGGGCTCGGTCCTCCCTCCTGCCTGCAAACCCCTCTGCCTGTTAATTTCCTGACATGCGGCATGAAACTTGAGGTTCCTGGGACAGCAGCTCTTGCTGTCTTCAATCGGCGGCGGTAAGCGGATCTGACAGGGCAAGCTCTGCACTCTGCTTGCCATGTGTCATCCTGCAGTTTACACAATTGGACGTGACAGCCGGTGCATTGCAGGGTGATTTTCCTAGCCTGCCTTGAGTGGGGGCTAGAGAGAGGAAAGCAGCAACAGCCCTGACATGTGCCACCAGCAGGAGATGTGAGGGCAACTGATGCATGAACGCAAGGCAGCCGATGGGTCTGTGTCACCAACCACAGGGTATTATGGAAGGATGGGGTTTTGAGCTCTGTCCAGTCAGGAACCTCAAGGGCTCTAACGTCATCCCATGCTTAGCAGTGAGCAGGCCTGGGGCAGGAAACAGACCCCGTTGAGGGGCTATGGAAGGAGCTAGGTCAAACCGTCCTCACCCAAAACACAAAGGGACGGGATTGTGGCCTATTGTTAGAGGAGGGGATTTTAAGTCAGGACTTGTGGCTTCTCTTCCTGGATCTGATCGACCATGTACGTGAGCTTGGGTATAAGTCATTTCACCTCTGGAGGCATCAGTTTGTCATTGGCAAAATGGGGATAATGAATGGATATTGACAGACGCTAGGGGCAATCTCGATATTTATTGGACCCATATTGGCTAGGGTGGGCTCTGGTTTTATCTAAGCCATCAAGAGCTCCATGTCACAGCCTGGGCTGGAGGAGAAGGTGGCAACTCTGAGAATTGACCAGAAGGAGGTCACTCAGAGGAGAGGCACGATACTCCTTTCCTCACCCCAGAGGATGAGCTCGTGACACCCCTTACATCAGTTCTACCCTCATTCTTCTCCATCCCAGAGGCATCATGCCACCACTCCCATACCCAGTGCCATCTACTCACATCCCACCAGCAGTCTCCAGGGGCACTTACATACAGCTCTGTCTCCAGACCTGTGAACTAAATGCAGGTGATGGCTAGAACATCAGTTGCAACAATGTATTTTGCCTTCTGCCGGTGCAACCTACTGGGGCAAAAGCAGGCCTCTGGCATTCTAACCCTCATGCAACAGGAGCAAAAGTAGCCTGAGGCAAATATCACGCACCGAATGATAGTCAGCCGTTAAAGGGTAATTGAGGAGCATTTTGTGGAATCTGTTTATCTCCAGACTTTATTGATATGTGATCTAGTGCGTCAGTGATACAGACAACAGCCAGCAGGCCCCAGATACAAGCAAACATGGGTGATGCCCTTTGAACAGCAAGGTACTTCTCCTCGCAAAGAGGCTGGAGTCCGCCTGAGCAGGATGCAGACGGTGGGAAATCTCTTGCAGGTTTATTTCTGTGATGCCAGGTCACAGTTTGGTTGAACTTCTTGCATTTGGAATGTGGCCTCTTTAAAAACCGATCCTTATAGGAAATCCCCCATTTTAGCTCATTTTGTCCCTCCTTTAAGTGTCATCTCAGGCGCCAGGAGTTTCATTGATCTAGCCATGGGGCGTCCCTGCGACTGCAGCCTCAGCATCATAGCCTAGTCACATGGCTAGTCTTGTTGACTTTACTGAACCTACCCATGTAAGTGAGGGCTCTAGGGCCACGTCCTCACTTTTCTCTTCCTGGAAGATATGAAGAAACTTGTTGCAAAGTGGAAACTATTGCCAGCATCAGCATCAGCTTTGGGAAGATGCAGTGAGCATGGAATACAATGGAATACATAGCTCCTATATAGCACTTTGCATCCATCTGTACCTCTCAGAGCACTCTGTTAAGTACCATTATTCCCGTTTTGCAGATTGGGAAACTGAGGCACGGAGTGGGGAAGTGATATGCCCAGTCACCCAGCGGGTCAATGGTGGAAACCAAATCCAGGACTCCTGACTCTCAGGCCTGCTCTTGCCGCTAATCACACTGTCTCCTGCAGTGCAATACAATAGAATAGTAGAATACGGAGCAAATTCACTTTTAAGAAAATATACCAAATAAACACAACACTCTCTTTTTAATCTCTCCTATTTTTCTTATACTCTGTTTGCATGCCTCAGTGGAAAACTGGATTAGAAAAGTTATTCTCTTTGCTTTACAATAATAAATTAATATAACATGAACAGCACAGCTTTGAGAAAGTCTCTGTTGTCCCTCTAGTAAAAATCTAACAAATATATACATAGTATCCTGAGCTTTTGTGGGAAAAACCCACTTCCTCAGATGATAGAGTTTATGAGAGAGTCTCATCTGTGTAAGTGGGTATTGCCCACGAAAGCTCATGATATATATATAGTTAGTCTCTAAGGTGCTACAGGACTACTGTTTTTTTTTAAAGTTACAGACTAACACAGCTTCTCCTCTGAGACGTTTACTAGAGGGATTTCTCTGATCTACTGTAGGTAGACAGATGTGCGTGTAAAAAGCTCAATATATTGTAATACTGAATCTGAAAAAAAAAGTCAAATGAAAAGTGAACGTATTTTAAAGCATTTTGAGGTCAGTTCTTAAACAATGTGTTTCTAGACTGTGGGGGGTTTTCGGGATACCATCCCGGAAAAACCCCACTGCGTCCAGGGAACACATTGCTTTTCTGTGAAAAAAAGCGGAAGAGCAAAACGCACTCCTTCAGGGAGCCTTGTCTTCCTTGTTCCGCAAAAAGGCTACAGTGTAGACATAGCCTAAGATTCCAATTCATCAGTCCATCTCAAATCAGCAAAGCATTTAAGCACATGCTTAACTAAACTTCAGTGGGAATTAAGCCTTTAAGTCAAGAACTGGACATCTTTCTAAAAGACATGCTGTAGAAGTTACAGCCTTTTTGCAGGGATCACTGGGGGTATGTCTACACTACCCTCCTAGTTCGAACTAGGAGGGTAATGTAGGCATACCGCACTTGCAAATGAAGCCCGGGATTTGAATTTCCCGGGCTTCATTTGCATAAGCGGGGCGCCGCCATTTTTAAAACCCCGCTCGTTCGAACCCTGTGCAGCGCGGCTACACAGGGCACGAACTAGGTAGTTCGAACTAGGCTTCCTAGTTCGTGCCCCGTGTAGCCGTGCTGCATGGGGTTTGGCCCCGCTTATGCAAATGAAGCCCGGGAAATTCAAATCCCGGGCTTCATTTGCAAGTGCGGTATGACTACATTACCCCGCTAGTTCGAACTAGGAGGGTAGTGTAGACATACCCTGGGTGACATGATCTGGCCATGCTGTGAAGGAGGTCAGATGGCCTTGAAAGCTACAGTCTGAGCACGTGCTTAAAGTAAGCGTGGACTGAAGAGCGTTGCCAGCTAGGAAGGAATTCAAGCATGGGCTGAAATGCTCTGCTCAACCAAGGGCATTTGTCACCAGATGGACTTTTCCACTCAAAGCACACCACACATTGCTGCAGATTACAGTCCCTGAGCATATGCAACCCATCGATTCTTGCAGCACTCGCTGGACATGCCCAATCTGTTCCTGACAAGGCCTTGGCCATAAACACAAGACAAGCCCAGTCTAGGCGGGCACCCAATCCCATCGCAGTGATGAACATGTGGGAGCCGCATGCGCCGCATGGTCCCACTGCACACGCTCTCTGCACTCTGGGACTGGGGAAGAAAGTGGCTGCCAGCACTAGCCAGCCTCGGGGGTGGGCCTGGCTGTGGTTGGGAGGTGTGGAAGAGGCGGGGGCTGGGGCCTAGCCTTCCCCAGCCAGTAGATCACAAGCCACCCATGGGCACAGAGAGAGGGCAGGAGAACATCCCCAGAGGCATGGTTGGAATGGAACATTCCACCCATAAATAACCCTCTTGCAACCAATCAGGTACTAGCTTGTCAGCTGGCCTATGCCCATTCACTAGCAATTCCAGGCCTCGGGTGACGTCTCCAGTGAGACTGGGGCCTGGGAACATTGGTGAATCGTGGCTGCTGATCAGCTGGCGGAGGGTTAATGATTTGCGCTAAAGGAATATTGCATCATGCAGGGTGGGGGCGAGGAAGGGTTGATCAGGCTTATTTCAAACGGGAGCAGCTCCTCCCAGTCCCGGACTTCTCAGCCGCTAATTGGGCACATTTCAGACCTGTCTCTGGTGCTGTCAGCTAGGGCCATGCACTGAAATGGACTGGAACATGCTTCTAACGACTCATAAATACCATGTGGCATTTGTCGGGGATGGTGTCCTCATGCGTCACAAAATCCCTGCGTGCATAAGGCAAGAGCACATCACGGCAGCCTGCCCAGGTGGGACAGCTAGTTAGATGTGGGTGCAGGCTGGAGGGGAGGGGATGGATCTGAACTATGACAGGTGGGGGAGGAGAGTCTTTCACAGGCCAGCGTGACCCGGTGCCTTGGGGCACACCACGCCCTGCTGGATGTACCGGAGGAGCTCTTTGCGGTTGTCCAGGATGGTGTCGAAGCTCTCCTGGAGCTGGTTCTGCTGAAACACCACTTTCTGCTGGAGGCCGCGGATCCAGCGCAGCAGGGCCAGGCGCCGATACATCACCAAGTGGAGGTGGTGCTTCTCCTTTTCTCGCTCCTTGAATCTCATTTTGTCCTGGAGGATCTGGAAGGCCTCAGCCAGCACTGGGAAGCTGGTGTCTGAGTCGGAGATGTTTTCAGCATTATTGTCGGGCAGTTGAGGATCTGGCTGGTTCCTCAGGTCATTGGTGTCAGCGGTGGGAGCCTCCCAGGAATTGCTGGTGCTACTGTCTGGGCTGTCAAAGCTGAGGGAGCTGCTGGCATAGCCATTGTCTTCTAAGGGGGAGCCAGCCAACTTGTTGCATTCTTTGGCTGCATTCTCGGTAGCCGCTTTCTCCTTCTCGGTGCCACTGACCTCGGCTCCCTCAGGGGGGCTGCGCACATCCTCCTTGGAGAGGCCCAGCTCGTCTGACTTCAGCCCTGGGGGAGCATCCCTAAGCCTGCCCTTAGCTGTCTGTCTCTGCATTAATAACACCAGATTATCGGCTGGATTTGTCATGTTTTCTAGCTGGCCGGAGTCCCCCTCCATCCGGGTCCTCACCACCGCCTGGTTCCAGTTCTCATTGCTGTCATACCCTTCCTCCACAAAGTTGAAATTCTTGTCCTGCCTGCGCTCCCATTCTCCGAGGAAGGCTGTGCCCAGCATGGGGTCCCGCTTGCTCTCGTGGAATGGAGCATTCCGGGGGACGTCTGGCTGGCACACTGCAAACATCCTTCTGTTCTCCCGCCTGGGAAGAGAGAGAGAGAACAGATGCAGATGTGAAGGAAGGATTTTGGTCTGAGTTCCCAGGGTCAGCCTGGCCTCCCAGCTGTCCCCTTCCCCGGCTGCTAACTCTCCTGAGCGGAAGAAGCCTGATTCTGCTCTCGTGAGCTCTGCTTTGTCCCTGCAGTAACCGCACTGACTTCAGGACAGATACTCGGGATTCACACCAGTATGAGCAAGAGGAGAAGGCCCAAGGGTCTGACCTCAGCACAAACCAGGGTGGGAAAAGTGGAGCATCTGATCTGGTCTTGCATGTACACTAAGGCAGACACCGGTGTGGCCTGTAAGCTGTGCACTTGTGCAGCCACTCAGGAGAGAATCCAATGCCACCTAGCTGATTAGCAGAGCCCCATAGCTAAGTTTTGGGTTCTACTGATGGTGCACATTTGCACATGCCACAGTGCACATAAAATTTATTCTGCGCATGGATGGAAAAAAATCCACACATGGATGGAAAAGATTAGAGGGAACATTGGTGTACACAGGGTGATTTGGCCTGAGATGTAATGTTGAGCTTTGGGATAGGAACCAGCCTGAAGTTTGGAGGCATGTACGATTTTGGTGGGGCCCAGGATGATGTTAGGGGACAAATGGAAATGTCAGATCTGTGTCCTAAACTTGGTAGAAGCCTGGAGCCCAGGTTTTAGGTTTGGCCCATTTCTGGAAGGGGAATAGGATAGTAAGCCCTAGAGGTGTGCAGCGTATTGTAGCACAGCACCATAAGACTCATTCCTTCCTAGGGATGCTGATAAGAGCAGGATGGGGCCCTTGTTTGGCCTGGGCAAATCTGTTTTCTTAAGGCCTGGTCAAGTAAGATATTAGGGTATGTCTACACTACCCCGCTAGTTCGAACTGGCGGGGGTAATGTAGTCATCCGCAGTTGCAAATGAAGCCCGGGATTTGAATTTCCCGGGCTTCATTTGCATGAAGCCGTCTGGCGCCATTTTTAAATGCCAGCTAGTTCGGACCCCGTGCCGCGCGGCTACACGCAGCACAGACTAGCTAGTTCGTATTAGGCTTCTAATCCGAACTAGCTGTACACCTCGTTCCTCGTGGAATGAGGTGTACAGCTAGTTCGGATTAGAAGCCTAATCCGAACTAGGTCGTCCGTGCCGCGTGTAGCCGCGCGGCACGGGGTCCGAACTAGCCGGCATTTAAAAATGGCGCCGGCCGGCTTCATGCAAATGAAGCCCGGGAAATTCAAATCCCGGGCTTCGTTTGCAATTGCGGATGACTACATTACCCCCGCCAGTTCGAACTAGCGGGGTAGTGTAGACATACCCTTATAGCAGTGAGGTGCCTTGTCTCAGTGCATCAATATTTAACTCCGATACATGCAGGACTTCCATTCAGGCCCAGCAAATCTACTATATACAGGAGAATGTTTGTATGTGAGTGCGCTAATAACTTGGACACTAGAAGAGTTACCGCAACCAAACTTTGCATAGGGTAACCTTTCCTCCAGGAGAAGGTTTTAAGGGACTGGGAGGGAAGAGATGAGAGACCGATGCCTCTCCCCGGGGCTGCATGGAGCTTGGCAGTGCAGGGAGAAGTGGCTTCCCTGCCATTGGTGGAAGCATATGGAGGCCCCTCTTCAATACTGTGATTGGCTCAGGGCCCAGCGGCCGACCAATGGGCGGGCGGGTTGCTGCCGGGGTTCGCTATAGACAGAAGGGGTGAGGCTGCTGGAAGGTAACTCCAGCTAGTATAGAATAAAAGAGCTCAAAGGTGTTTAAAACCCGGACTGTTTCTTACAGTGGGTTCATAGGATGGAACAGAGCCGGCTATTTCTGACTCCCCTTGGCCAGGAGGCTATCAAACGCTGGCACTTCAGTTGCCCTTCCTCCCACTGCCATGCTGCTCCTGTCCTCTGCCTTGGAGCGGCCTCCCGGGAGTCTCCCGCTTTTCTGTGCAGGGTGGGGCAGGCAGAGGAAGGGGGTGCTGGTGTCGAGGTGTTCCCCTCCCTCTACCTTTGTACCCCATCTCCACAGAGAGAGCAGGGTGGGGCATTGGGAAGAAGGCAGGGCAAAGGTATTTGGGTTTCAGGTCGATCCTGGATTGACTTGAATTCAAAAAGTCACCTTGTGCTTCAAAAGGTTGGAGACCACTGTTTTAAAAACTTTCTTTTTTACCTTCTTTAAAATGTATTCAGCTTCCTGGCTGCAATCTCCTAGGACTTCGGTAGATTCTTTGAATTAGGTCTCTGCTGATTTCACCGACTTTCTGATTTTAAATGGCAAACCAATAGCCTTCCCCAAGCCCAACAGACCTGTTTCTTCATTACAAAACCCAGTTGTAAACAGGAACTACAGGTTGAATCTCTCTAGTCCGGCAGCCTCGGGACCTGGCTGGTGCCAAACTAGAGAATTTGCCAAACCACAGGAGGTCAATATAGTCTAGCAGCATGATCAACACTGCCACTGTTTATCGGGCTCTTACAAGACATTTAGGTGTAAACTGGATCTAAATAACAGCACAAGACACTGAGAACCAGGACTGGTGGCTGTGGACAAACATTATGAGATCACAGGAAACTTGGCCACACCCATGAAAAGTGGACACCTGGCTCACTAAAATCATGGGTGGACCATGGATGTTACAAGACCAGAGAGTGCCGGACTAGAGAGGTTCAACTTGTAGTAAATAAACTCCGTGAATCAAAGCTTTGAATAGGACTCTGAGTGGAAATGGTTCCAATCTCCCAGCTCCATTAAAGAGCGAAAGGAGGAAGGGCAGGAAGGTCCAGGAGAACAGGATCACAGGTTTAAAGAAAGATGAAAGCATGGCTGCCCTTTCTTTTCACTAAAAAGTAAGCAAAGGAACAACAAGGGTAGGGAGTGACTGGGCAGGCTTTACTCTCTGTCCTTCCGTGCTTAATAGCATTGTTTTTTAGTAGGCCTCACAAATATGGCATCTTTTGTTTATCTTTGTCATGTCTCAGTGAGGAAATGGCAGATTTAAAGGTCTGGATATTTAGAATCAGGATAACAATCCCCCCAGTAGATCATACATGGGGGCTAAAAGCCACAAGTTTCCCTTCAGATAAAATGAGTATTTCCCTGTCTCTCCCAAACAGGTCTCGCCCTCTCTGCAATAATCCAAGATTTAAAGTTTTACTCTGGGATTCAGGAAATCTGGGTTCGTGACCTTTGGCAAGTCACTTCAGGTATGTCTATGTGGGGATACAAGCCCTGCAGCACGGCCACAGCTGGCCCGGGTCAGCTCAGGCTAACGGGCTAAAAAAATGGTGTAGACCGGGGAGGGCAAGATGGCCTAGGGTTGCCAGGTGTCCGGTTTTTGCCCGGACAGTCCAGTATTTGCAGCATCTGTCTGGTAAAAAAACCAGAACATTTTCTGTTCTTCTCGGATGGAAGGCCTGCGGGGACATTCTTCCCCTGCTGCATCTGGCGGGGGTGGAGCGTGGTGGGGATTTAAAGGCGCCTTTTTTTTTTTGGCTCAACAAATTTTGTCCCCTTTTTTGTTCAACCAATTTTTTTCCTGCCACGTTCGGTATTTTTTGTGAAAGTATCTGGCAGCCCTACAAGATGCGGCCCATCGGCTGGATCTGGCCCACAGAGCCTTTGAATCAGGCCTGTGGCCCTTGCCTCCAGGACCCGCAGGCAGGGAGCAGCGCGAGGTTCTGGCCAATGGGAGCTGAGAGGGTGTGCTAGAGACAGGGGGCAACATGCAAAGGTTCCCCCCACTCCCGGTGCGCATGCAGTGCACAAAGGCACATGGAACAGCCAGCCACTTTGAGCAGCATGGGTCTGTGGGGTCCCACTGTGCTGCTGGCTGGGAGCCTCCAAGGTAAGCACCCACCAGCCATATTCTGCCTCTGGCACCCTACCCCCTCCCGTACCCAACTCCCCTCCCAGAACAGCAGCCCCTCCTACACTCCTCCCTCAGGCCAGAATCCTCTCCTGCACCCATACCCTCTCCCCAACCCTGCACCCCAACCCCCGGCCCCAGGTCACCACTTCCTTCTTAACCCAAACTCCCTCTCAGACTCCACACCCTCTCCTGCACCCCAATCCACTACCTTGAGCTCCCTTCTGCACCCAACCTCCGCCCCAGACCCCGCACCGCCTCCATATACAAGTACAGCCCTTGATCACTTATCAAAAACTTGGGGTGCCCCCCCCCATCAAAATTGATTGCCTGCCCCTGGTGTAGAGGGTCAGGCTCAGGTTGGAGCTATAGACCCCTGCGTGGGATGCGGGTCTCAGAGATCAGGTTCCCGCCGCAGCCCAAACATCGACACAGCAATTTGTCAGCCCTGGGGTCTGACCCAGGTCAGTTGCGGCTGTGCTGCAGGGCTTGTATCCCTGTGGAGACAGACCCGTCGTCGGGCTGGGCCTCAGCTCCCGTCTGTCCACTGGGAACAATTGAACTTCCTTCCCTCCCAGGGTGTTGGGAGCATACACAAAACACGGGAGCCCACAGACCGGACTCTCCTCTGCTGCCCTCCCTCCCCACCCCCACTGGTCACTGACACCCGTGCAAATCAAGGGCCACATGTACCCTTTGGGGAAGGCACAGGAGAGCTCTGAGGGGGAGACCCTGCGGGGGAGAGGATGACTCAAGGGAGGGGGAAGGAGGTATCACACTCGCACCCTCCCTCCTCCAACAGTCACTACAGGCTTGGACCTGTGCTGCACCCCAGTCCTGACCCTTGTCCCATTCAGGCAGCTGGTCCTCAGAATTAGCACCATGTCCGACAGGGAGAGGCAGGTCGGGCCCAGCGAGGGGCCACGCACTCACCCGCCCTGCCCCTTTAAATGTGGATCCCAGTCTGGTTGCTATGGCAAGGTTTCCATGGCAAGCAAAGAGATGGGGGGTGTGCGCACCGCATCAGAGAGCGCAATGTGCTGTGCTGGTAGCATGTGATGGAGAGTGCCCAGAGGCGCACAAAGGAGCGGTGTTGAATGACCCTGTCACACACACCGAAGGGGAGTTGCAGAGGCGGAGGGCTCCCAGGACTTCCAAGCCCTGCCTTGTGGGATGTGTGCGGGGGATCCATATCCTGCACCTTCCCTCCCCCAGCCTCCTTCTCCCAAAACCACATAGCTCCCTGGACTGACCCGCTCCGTAAGCAGCAGGACAAGGCAGGGGAAAGGGATGCATGGAGGGAAGGAAGGGAGCAGGTTTTCAGTGTGCCTGCTAATCTAGGCAGAGGGCGGGAGGGGGCAACTGAACAGATGTGGTCCAGGATTAGGAGAGTGCTGGATTCAATGCCCCAGCACACCCCTGCATGGCTGTAGAGTTCTGGCAAAGTACCCTGTACAATCTCACAGCATTGGAGCTCCCCCTCTCCCATAAGCTATATAAAGGGGTAGGGGAAAATTGGTGTGGGGGGGTGTTGCCTGACTCATCCCTAAACTGGACCTGAGCAAAACCCTTCTCCAGGCAATACAAGCCCTGTGAGTGAACGCTTTGGAAATCAGAGAGTCAATCAGGACATGCCTACGCACACCCGGGGGTCAGGATCCGGGCAGGTGGGGATGAGGCTTTGGCACCATCAGCAAGGGGAGCAGGTCGAAATGCTCTTGCTTTTGAATCCTTTTGAAGCTGCTCCTGAGGAGGAGTGAAATAAACAGCCCTCCCCAAAAGGATCCGAATGTGGCAGCAGGAGTAAGCTCTCTGCCCTGACTCCGGCACCGAGGGGAAGCGGGTGGCTTCTCTTGGCACCTGCCTGTCGCCTGCTCTGTTCCCGGCACCCCCAGACACCCAGTGAACAGCTGACACTCACCGATAGAGCCTTGGGAAAGCGAAGGGGGATTTTCAGGCGGCTGCTCGTGCTGCGGCTCTTGCTGCTCAGCTGGAGAGAACGGAAATAGACCCCTCCACGGCAGCAGGAAAGCGTCATGAACTGCACACTTCCGACAGCAGTCAGTGCTGCCGGCAGCACCGGGTCACAGGCTGATCAGCAGCCAGGCGAGAAACGCAAAGGCACCACCAGGAGCCACCTGAGAACAGCCCAGCACATGTCAAGGAGTGTGTGTGTGTTTATAACAGAGCTTATGAACAATGATCTCTCCCTTCGGGGATGACACCAAGTTCCCTGCAGAGGATAAAAATCTTCCAGGAGAGAGCCAGTAAGGAAGAGGAGAATCCTGGGTTATGCCACACTGGGGGTGACTGTTCTAAGCACCAGATCTAACCTATCTGCAGTCAGAAGCACTGTGGGTTCAATCCCTGCAGAGGCAGCTGTTGGGGGCCCAGCTAGAGGCCTTTGTGAGATGCCTGATTTTCAGAGGGCGGGTGCTCAGTGCTTTAATCAGGCCCTCGGTAAGGTGGCTCAAGGTAGAGAGTAGAACTCTTTGAGCTGCAGAGAGGCCAACAGCTTGCTGAGGCTGTGGTCCCTTGGGGTGGAGACTGTCCCTTCGTTCTGTTGTGTACAGCACCTAGCACCACGCAACTAACCAGGCTAATAATAAAGCCCTGCTGCTGGTCTCCCTAGCACATTGGTGGAAAGTGAAGCCCGGGGGATGCGCAGCCTCTGGCCAAGTGCACTGGGCGAAAACACTATGGAACATTCACCGCACCACGATTCTTCATCGAATCTTAGGTGTTGGCGAGACCTCAGGAGGTCATTGAGTCCAGCCTCCTGCCCAAAGCAGGACCAACCCCAATTCAATCATCCCAGCCAGGGCTTTGTCAAGCCGGGACTTAAACATCTCGAGGGATGGACATTCCCCCACCACCCTAGGGAACCCATCCCAGTGCTTCCCCACCCTCCTAGGGAAACAGTTTTTCCTAATATCCAACCTAGAGCTGTTCCACTGCAACTTGAGACCATGTCTTAACACAACTGCTCATCTGTCATTGCTTTCCATGAGCTAAAAGGCTGCCATCCACCCTCCATCCCCTCTGCCCACTTTGCTGGCTTGGAATGACCCTGTCTCTTGCAGGAAACCTTCGGCAGGCCTTGCCTTCCTCCCTGAGGCTGGGGAGCAGGGACACATGATCTCTGTCACAGTGGCTATTTGTTCTGCCCCATGCCTCAAAGGAGAGGACAGCAGCTCAGTTAGCTGGCATTGCTAGGTGCACTTGGACATGTTGGTTAACATTCCAGCTGCTCGGATGCTCACACTCCATGGTGACAGGCCCAGTTACAAGAACCTGAGCATTTCTAAGAGGCAGAATTGCAGCAAGGGAGGTTGAGGTTGGACATTAGGAAAAACTTCCTGTTAGGGTGGTGAAACTCTGGAATCCATTGCCGAGGGAGGTTGTGGAATCTCCATCCCTGGAGATATTTAAGAGCAGGTTGGACAGACATCTGTCAGGGAGGATCTAGATGGTGCTTGGTCCTGCTGTGAGGGCAGGGGACTGGACTTGATGACCTCTCAAGGTCTCTTCCAGTTCCAGTGTCCTATGAGTCTATGAATTTGCCACATAATGAAGCCCCACAAGCTGCCATCACCTGCAGATCTCTCGATAGATCGATCTCTTAGATGCACCGGAATTATGCCTTTCTATACAGTGGTGTCTATGGAGCATCACAGTGGCTGGAATTTTAACCAGCATGTTGCCTTGCTGGACCAATGAGCATGTCCAAGGATGGTTGGGACCTGTCTAGGATCAGGCTTCTACCATCACTATGTCCGGTGGAACTGAGTCACAGTTGGGCGGAGAGGGTTTGGGGGGTAAAGCTGAGGGTAGAGGAGGCTCTTGGATATTCCCCAGATTTGCTAGGAATTGTGGAAGATTCCCCCCCCCCAGCTTCACCCACCCACCATCAAAAAGTAATGAGGTGCAAACAAGCCCTGAGAGAAAGCAATTATGGAGCAACTAAGGCTGGCCAAGACATATTGGAGTTCAAATCCCAAACACAGTGTATAGCCCCAGGGTTCCCGTACCAAAGTTAGGGTTCCCGGGTAGCACTCAGCAACACTTAGCTTGCTGGGCTGATAACATCGCCTTGGGATGTGCATGCCCAGCGCCCGCTTGTGTGCTTTGGAACTGCTTTCGGCTCTGTGTGTGTGTGTGTGTGCATGTGCAATGATAAATCTCTCACAAGAAAAGAGCAGCCACACTCTACACACACACACACGGACGCTGCAGCCCAAGGGTTTCCCAGTTTCCCCCACATTACCCACGTCTCAGCCCATCACCCACTCTGCGGCCAGCTCTCAATAGCCTTCTTCACAGCACTCGGGGGGTTCTGGAAACTTTAAAAGAGCCAGCATATCAAACACCAGCAGTGAATGCGACGCCTGGAGGGGAGAGGGTCACATGAAGCACCATGAACACTTTGGGGATAAAGGGCCATTGTCAGCCCCCAGAGCGTGCTCAAGATGATGGAGCAAATGTGAAGAACGGCTTGGAGGAATCCAGTGTGGTAAGCAAGAAACATGGGATTTGGTGGCTGGAGTGACTTTGGAGCGAGGTGACTAGGGAGGTGTCTTGCTTGGCAGGAACCCAAGGGGAGTTTGAGCTCGATCCCACAGTGTACCCCCCTTTCCCACTTAGCCCTCTGCCTGTTGGTCCGTTTGGAGAAAGGGACTGGTTTTTTAGTCTGTTTGCCTCCCACGCACCCTGCGCTAGGTGCTGTACAGAGACATACATGGCCCCTGCAGCTGGCTGCTTTGAGGGGGTGGGAATGCCACAGCATGCGAAGCAGAGCAAACCAAGCCAACAGGGGGTGCTCAAAATGCCCCGCCAACATGCCAAGGGTCAGTCCTGCTGGGAGAAAGCTGAGTGGATTCTGGTGATTCATGAACTCAAGCAGCTTGCTCCCTTCTCTGGTTTAGGGTCCTGGGGAGGGTCTATCTGAGCAGCGCGGCTCTAGGGCAGTGGCTCTCAAAGGATGGTCTGACTGTCTTTCAGGGGGGCCATGGGTTCAGAGCTCACCTCCCGCTCCCCCATAGCAGGGATCCTGCGCTGGCACTGCAACCCTCCCTCCCCCCCGGCAAGGTTGAAGCGGCAGCGCTGGCTTCCCACTGTGGGGCAGGGTGGGGTGAGTCTTGCAGGCTGGATCCAGCTTGTGGGAGAAGGAAGCGGCTCCATGGGCTGCTGCTCCCCTTCTCCTTGCTGGGGGAACATTTTCCTTCAGGCTTTCACCGCTGCTCCCATTGTCCGGAATCGTGGCCAATGGGAGCAGTAGGGGCAGTGTCTGGGAGCAGCAGGAGGCACAGAGCCAGGTAAGCGCCCCCCATCCCCCGCACGCCCAGACCCGGCACCCTCAGCCCCCTCACACACACTCCT